TGCCTCTGAGCTAAATCCCTAGCCCCAAATGCTTGTTTTTACGTAGGCAGTTTCTAGCCACATGTACAGAAAAAGAATTAATCTAGGAGTGGATTTATGGAGAAGGCATTTATTTCTCAAATTATGTCCAACTAGTAGGTTTTTAAAAAAATATTGATCGTGCATTATTTTTACAAGTATTAAAATAGGAGGAAAACTTCGACTTTTAGTAATATATAAGAATAAGCACTACAGCAGCTCTTCTCTTTAGAGAGGAAGAAAAGGAGATTGACTGCACCCATCTAGGGCCACAGGGTGGGACAAGGGTAAAGCCATGTCAGACATTCTAGCAGCGATTTTAGAATGCTTTCCCATGGAAGAAAAGGCTTCTCTTGGGCTGCCTGGTGTTCACACCAGGAGCCAAAGAGGATCCTTCTAGTATTGATCTGTGTATCCAGGAGGGCTGTGCTTAGCTTACTGGATGGGGAAAGAGGTTTGGTTGATTACTTCCATTTTCATTTACCTGTAAATGTGGATATTGAACCCAGATAGCATTAACAAATGAAAGCAAAAGAGATGCCACTTTGCAAGAAGTCTTTGCAAACTTGGGGTAGGCTATAGTTTCTTAGGATGCAAAAGCACTGAGCTATAAAAGAACACATTCATAACCTGGACTTCCTAAAAATTGAAGACTTCTATTTATTGAAATATACTACTAAGAAACTAAATAAATAAGCCAAGGGCTGAGAAAAAAATATGTATGTCATAATAGAATTATATTCAGAATATTTAAAGAAGTCTTACAGCTGACTATTAAGTTGGACAGCCAATTAGAAAATGGGCAAAGGGCTTGAACAAGCTTTTCCCAGAAGAAGGCATACAGATGGCCAACAAGTTCATGAAAAGATGCTCAACGTCATCTGTTACTAGGGCAGTGCAAATTATAAAATACAATGATATACCACTAGATGTCTAATTTTTTTATATTGGTACTAGGAATTGAAGTTGGCCTTCACACTAAGTAACATGTCCAGTCTCCTCAACCTTTTTCACGTTTTATTTTGAGAGAAAGTCTCACTAACCTGTGCAGGTGGGTCTCACACTTACTCTTCTGCTCAGTCTCCCAGACCAAGTGCTGGGATTATGGGTGTGCACTACCACACCTGGCACAGGTGTCTAAAATTTGTTTAGACACTGACGGTTTCAATGTTGGCAAAACTATGCAACAGGCAGCGCTCATGATTGGCACATGTTCTTTGGAGAATGGTTTCACAATTTCCTATGAAGTTACACATACTTTTACCAGCACTTACTGAAGGAAAATGAAAACATCTCCCAGAAAACTGGTACAACAGTTCACAGCAGCCTTTTTCCCCCTATTATATCCAAAACTGGAAACAAGTCAAATGTCAATTGACTGGTGAATAGATAAACAAATTGTAATTTATCCATTCAGTGGAGTACTACTCAAGAATAGCTCTAAAGAACGAACTACTGACACTGCATCATGGGTGAATAACAGAAAGCGAAGCAGGGGTTGCCCAGGGCAGGAATAGGTACGTATGCAGTGGTTTGCCCGGGAACTTTGGAGTGGTGGAAATGTATTTCTTAGTTGTGCTTTTCATTTTGACGAGGGTGATGGTAACACTATTATAAAATTGGTCAGAACTCATCAAACTCTATACTTCAAATGAGTATATTTTATTTTTATTAGTATATGTTTGCAGTATACAGTGATTACATTTATCGTGGGAAATTGGTTCATGTACATAATATATCAATTCATTTTTTCATCTCCTGCCCCTGTCCTCCATTTGTGTTCCTTCCAGCTCTTGATCCCCTTCCCATTTGCAAAAGCTCTGTTGTCATCATTTTCCCCCTTCAGTTTTTTTCCCATCCCCCTTCCCTAAACCTAACCCTCTCCTCTTTCTCCATCTCATTCCTCTCTCCATTTGAAAACAATCTCCCTACTTTCTATTTACCTATCTTCTATATATACAGAGAGAGACAGACAGACAGACAGGGACAGAGACCAAGAGTTTCTCTTTAAGGGAAACCAGGCAATATATAAGCTTGTGCTTCTGATTTATTTCTCTTAATATCATGGTCTCAAGTTGTATCCATGTACCTACGAATGCTTCCAGTTTATCTTTCTTTATGGCAAAGTAGTAAATTGTGTATAAATACCACCTTTTCCTTTTCCATTCATCTCTTCATGGTAATATAGGCCATTTCCAAACTTGGCTATGCATGTATTCCAGTAAAGTGATGACTTTGACTCTTTGGGGAAAGATACCTAGAAGAGGAATAGCTGGGTCAAAGGGAATTTCTATTTGTAGTTTTCTGCGGAATCTCCATACTGATCTCCGGAGTGGTTGTGCTAGTTTACATCCTCACCAACAGTGTGAAAGAGTTTCCTTTTCCCCATACCCTCACCAGGCTTTGTTAATATTTGATGTCTTGATGATAGCCATCCTTTCTGAAGTAAGATGGTGTCTCGATGCTTTAATTTGCATTTCAAGTGAGTGTATTTTATGTTGTGGAAATCATCCCGCAATAAAGTTGATATTTAAAAAGTTGCACTCACTGGATGTCTGGGGAAGGGCTGGCATGGTAGGGCGTTAGTGTGCGTGATCACGTGGCAGGTTTGTTTGCCAGTTCGCTTGCCATGTGTCCCCTTCCTAGCCCTCCTTTCCATTCTGTGCTTAGGAGCTGATCCTTTGGAAAGGGAGAGTGGAAATATAGGAATGCGTTATGAGTGAGGTCATGAGAGAGATGTGTGTTACCCTTACCCAGAATGCCACGGGGCCAGCATGCGTTCCCTCAGGCATCAGGCATGACAACTCTGGTTAGAAGGAAAGATGGGGAACCTGTCCTTTGGTGTTCTATGCTTGCTCACTTCGTGTGTTTGTTGGCTTGGGTGGGCATCATGGTGGCAAGGGGTGGGGTGCATTATTCTAGAGTAATTCCCAAAGCTTAGCTTCCCCTGTGGGAATGCTGCTGGTGCACTTTCCTTTGAAGGCTCTCTTTCTGCATTATACCATTTATCTGTTGCCCCTAGACTTCCTCCTGAGCTCTACTCTCTCTTCCAAGAGTACAGCATTTTCTTTCATTTGCTAGCAAATCCAGGAGGAAAGGACCGCTGACTTCTTACCTGTGTTTCCTCTTAACCCAGCAAACATTCAACCTCAGGTCACATTTGCATTCTTAAAGATGGCAGAGAACCTTTTCTTCCTGAGAAGAAACTGTGTGTTTCTTGGCTCCTCCCTGAGAAAGAAAAGGGTCCTTTCCCAAAAGGAGGAGTAGGCGCGGGAAGGCTGGGAGCTTGCCTCTTGGTACCAGTGGTAACTACCAGTGAAAACGCTGAGACTCCGAATCCTGTTCCTGGCAACACGCCCTGTAGGGAGATGAGAGGGCTAGAGGCAGTGGACCCTGGCAGCAGTGAGTAGAACCTGAAGCTGTTCGGTTACTCATACAACTAGCATATATAAATACCAGTGGGGAGGGATGACTGTTGTAGGAATTTCACCCCGAGAGTTGCAACATAAATTAATGTACCTGGTTCTGCTACAGTGCACTTATTAAAATAAACTTTTACTGCATTATGGAGTGTATGTAACAGGCCTCCTGCAGGCGTAATAGAAAAAGGCCTGCAGAGTAAAGTTCGTTTCCTTTTTTTTTTTTTTTTTTTCCTTTTTTGAGACATTGTCTTCTGAAACCAGCATCATCTATATTATTAATCGCTTGTGGGCCTTTATACCACATCACATTACTCCCTTGGAATTAAACTACACATATAAAGTATGAAAAATGTACTTTTTAAACAGTAAAAAAGTAATTTTTTCACATAATACCCCAAATAAAGTGCCATGGAGCCATTAGTAGTAAATTGAATTTTTTGGTATGTAATTTGTACAAAAACTGACAAGCGCGAGCCCCTTCTCCCTCGTCATTAGTCACTGGGCTGAACGGACACAGAGGCAGTAATCTGCAAGGGCAGGCATTTTGATGTCGACTTCAATTGCACACTTCATTTATTTGGACAGGGCACAGGCGGCAGCTTCTGTCACGCGGCATCACGGCACTATTAGCGAATTTCGCCCCAGGGCAGCTGGGACGCTGTGCTGGGGCAGATGTTCTTTTCAGCCTATTCAGTGACCATTCTTGGGGGTTGTTTACTGTTGCCATGGTGACCTTCATTTCCATAGCAGCAGCACTGCTGTTTCTCAGAGGAAAATGAATTTAGTTATAAAAGGATAATATTTTTCTCTGTCTCTATATAACCTGCCATCTGTCAACTGGTGGATCAGGAAGGATTCAGAAACCTATTAAGAATTATAGCAATGAAGTGATGAGTATTTTGGGGGGGTCCATATTAAAAGCAATCATAGATATGGAAGCAAATACTGTGCCCTCAATATCAGAACTTTAATTTTTTTCTTTATATTTTAAGTCTTCTTTAGATGCCTTTACCCTCTCTACTGCCGCACATAACCTCATAAAATATAATTTGCATTCTGCTGACAAATGGAAGTGACCAAATGTCTTGTTTGTATCTCACTCAGTGCAGGTATATTTAATGCTTCTCTTCTTGGGGCTGTGAGCTTTCCCCATTTCATTAAAGATTCAGGCGGCTGAACTTCCTCTTGTCACCACCTCTTCTACTCCTCACCCAAGGGTGAGAGCCAAGGGGGCGTGTAGGTCAGCAACTTAGCGGCAACATACTGTGCAGTCACAGCATCCACAAAACGGAAGAACTCATGCTCACCTGACAGAGAAAACTTACTAACACGCCCCTTGAATCTCACTCTAAAGTGCTTTTCTTCCTTTCACATCCTCCTAATAGTAAGACAAACACCTTTAGGATAGCTCATCTAGTCAGTCCTTAGATTTTTTTTTTTCTCTATTGTACCTATTCATGATCTGTAACTTGCAGGGGGAAAACACACACACACACACACACACACACACACACACCAGCCCTGTTGTAAATAATGTTATTTATTGGTTGATTTTTCCAGATCCTGACATTGATGCTGCCAGTGCCATGATGCTTTTGAATACTCCCCCTGAGATACAAGCAGGTTGTGAGTAGATATTTCTATAGCCTACAGCACCATAGTTTGTGGACTTAACCTTCTTGCTCATATACCAGGCCATAGGCAAACTAATGCTAACGTAGACTTCCCCTTGTAGCGTTACCTTAAAAACTACATATGCATTTAAACGTGCATCCATGCGATTATATGAATGAGTGCATAGATGCGTTTCTGAGATGAGAAAGTTCTGATACAATTTTAGGGCTTACAACTTGGGGACAGAAAAACAAACCTCATAATGACCCCAATGGAAAGATCTTCCTTTCTCCTGCAAAAATTGTTCCTCTGAGCTTGTGGAAGAGGCTCTTAATCCAGTCATTTAACCATAATGGAGCCTAGCAGTACTAATCTTCAGAAATTTCTTTCCTTTCTGGATCTTACTAATGTGAGGCTGCTGTTTTGGAAAGTCTGGCGTGCTTAGGCTTATACTAGCCTTGAAATGAAACCGTGACACCTCCTTGTGTCATCTTAAACAGCCTTTTAGACTGTCACAGAGAGAAAGGCCTGGCTGACTTAGCTAAGTGGAGTTCCTCCTTCAGCTTCTGTTGGCCATGGAGTAGCGTCAAGTTGGAGATCATTTTTTTCCTACCTGGACTTCATTTCTTTTCCGTCTGATGCCTTTTTGCATCTTTAGAGCTAGACCAATGTCGTTTTAGAAAGTTTTCCTTCACAAAAGATTAAAAGTTGACCTTCAGTAAAGATTATCTGTCCCTCTTCTAGACTTGAAGCTTGTACCTCTGCCGACATCCCACACCCAACCAGAGCCCTGTTCAGTGGGCAGGTAGCAAGACTACCACGGTCTGCCCAGCTTGTCATCAGGACCTAGATTCATTGCGGTCTATTGATGAAACATGCTGGTGTGGAGATGGTGACCTAAAGCAGTACGCATCACTACGCCATTGGTGGACACTGGTCCTCACCTTTGTAATTCCTCTGCCCATTTGGGCCTCTGGCTCTCTGAGGCTCCTTTGGCCTCCTGAGCAATGAGGATGCCCTACATTTGGAGATAAAGTGTTTCCCACGGGAAAGCACCCATCCTCAGACCCCCAGCAGGTGTCACAGTGGACTGATGCGGGGTCCAGACCACCCTGCGTAGCCCTCCACTTTTCCCAGCCTTGCTGATAGCTTTAGGAAATTTGGTTGCTTCTTTCTTCCTCTTTTAAAAGACTAAAGAAATATATCCAAGAATTCTTGGGGAGACTTGATCCTCGGCCTGGGCTGCCCTTACCTGGCCCTAACAGTGCAGGAATCTCGTTCTCCCTTTGCTAATCGTGGCTTGCTAGCATTTGGAATGTTAGTCTGCCCAGCAAACACCACTGCTGAGCTCCTGTGTAACTGGTGCATTTCTATGCAAGCACTTAGCCTGGAATGTGGCTTTTAAATGATATTCAGTTTTTAGAGAAATACTTAAAAACATCCATTCTTAGATGGCATCTCAGAAAAAGTACAACCTGGTTGTAATCAAGTTACAGGCCGAAATGATTTCTAAAATCAAGTTGCATAACCTGTCCTAGTGGAAACACTGATTTCATCAGAGCCATGCAAGGTTTGAGCGCCTTCCTCAGTACCCAGCCATTGTACATCGGGATCATTAAGTTTAAAACGTACATATACTTCTAATGAACTGGTTGCTGAGGTTAAGAGGAAAATTAGGGATGATGGAAAAGCCAAGGGGATTGATTGAGCATTCACAGATCCTCAGCAGCTCCCGTGAAATTCCCTTATTACTGGAGTCTCGGCTACGGGTGGAAAAGGAAAAGCGGTGCTCCTGATTAGCCTAGGCCGACAGGTTAGTCGCTGTGAATGTTCTCACCTCCACCCTCTAACTCCCAAACTGTAAAAATTCTCCTTCCACCATATACCAGTCCGGTGTACATTGGAAGGCTGAAGTTGAGAATTTGGAAAGCTTAAGGTTCCCGTTGTGAAGCTGTCGGATCACTGGGGAAGGCTGTCTGAGAAAGCTAGTACGACTGGTGAGAACTCCAGGAAGGCCCCAGCCTGGTGGGGGTTCCCACCCCCCGGAAGGAAAGAACCAGGGTGCCTGTGACAGTCCCAGAAAATGAAGTCATAGACAGGAGCAGAGAGATGTAAGCGTGACGTCTGAGGGTAGGGACATCTTCATGTTCATCTTCCCATCTGACGTCTAGTGCTGGCCTAATATCCAAGAGGTCAAGTGCAAGCATAGTCAGTGGGCAGGGTGTAACGCCCCTAAAGATTGGAGCAGTACCGTATGAGGTAGTGAAGATACATCAAGGGTCTGCTGTGTGCACCTGGAAAGCCAGGTGGCCGATGTTCAGCCTCCCAGTAGAGCCCGCGGTGAGCATCTCCAGCAGTCGAGCCCCGCTTTCAGCCAGAGCGTCCTTGCTTCGCTGTCCTTGCTCACCTTCCTTTCCTGTTACAATGCACCGTGTTTCTTGCTTTGAGGTTTGAGGCATTGCCTTGCCCTCTTAAGAGAGAAGCGTTACAAAACTAGAAGGATTTTCATTGGCACATGTTAGGTAGGATGATTATATTCATCATAGAGAATTTGTACCTGTATATGATATAACTTGGTTTCTTTTCCCATTCCCCTACCCTCCCTTCAACCTCTCTTTCTCTCCTTATTTACAAAAGCTTTGTGTTGATTTTTTTCCTTCAAAGCTAGGATGATTAAGCCACCGTTCCTGGCCCTGCCAGTAGGGTCCCAGGCTAGAAAAGGAGACCTGATTATTGGGTAGAAGGTTTAGGTGTGGATCTTACCAGGCCTTTTCTAGGTTCCTGCCTGCTCGGAGTCAGCCTGTGTCCTCCCCGGGGACTGAGGGTGAGCTCCGTTTGCAGGGCCACCTCGTGCAATGCTTCCTGTAGCTCCTTGGCTTCCCCTCTCAGGCTGCTGGATGCCCTTGTCTGAGCAGCGTCTGCTCACCTGGCGTCTCTGCCTCTGTGCACTCCCAGAAGTTAGAGGCTGGCTTGAAAGGTTTTTCCTTTGTCCTTGCCCTTTGTAGCCACTCCACTTCAGGTCACCAGGTGGCAGCCACTTAGATCTTTTCCTTTCTTCCTTTCTTTTACTCAGCACCTGCAGAATCAGCTCAGGGCCAGTGGACCAGGCACTGTCCAGGTCTGGGGCTGAATAGGTCCTGCAAAGGAAACCATTCAGAAAGCTGTTGGACGCAAGCCTCTTTCTGTCTCTGAAGGGCCCAGGGGAGCCCCATGCACCCTGCATTGCTTGGGCTGGAGCCCCGCTCCTTTCAGACTCATGTTTCGCTTCCAGTCAGGCAGTGGGGTGCAGCTAATGAAAACTTCGGCTCCTACAGTTTGTCCCCCTGGCAGTACCCGCAGTGCACGTGACATTAGCTTTTTCAGACTCTGCCAGTTTACAGCGTGGGACACATTCTGCAAGGAGAGCTATTATGTCCCACGTGCTCCCTAGGACACTACTTCAGAACAGTCAGTGCAGGGTGTGTATGGCTGGCTCAGTATCGTCCTAACTTTGGATTATGCTTCAGAGTCGGTTCCATTCCCCAGCCCACCCTCCCCGAAAGATTTCAGCTTCTGGTACCTCCTTTAGGCACCTGCCATGCAGTGCCCCTTTGACAAGCCCAATGAGTCATCTTTAACCCCCGTGGAGGAATTGTTATTAAGTCAGGAGAAGCCAGATCACCATTACTCATCTTCAAAGGCTTATATAACCCCTGGTTGGAATGTTCCCACAGGCAAACTCTGGATAATAAACAAAACAACTAAAAAGGACCTAGGGGGAGGAAGGCTGGCGTTCCATGCCCCACCTGGAACTGGGGTATGTGTCAGCCTCAGCAGACCCAGCAGAAGACAAGCAGCCGAGAAATAGGTCCTCTCCCCAGCCTGCTTCCAAGAGAGCAGGTGGAAAGGCTGCCTTTCGGAAAGGGGAAGATTATAGGAGTCACCTGCTGCTCGGCTTATGGCCTCTGGTAGAGTTAGCCAGGGCTGCCCTCTCAAGGCAGCGGGAGGAGCTCCGGGGTTAATTTTACAAGTGAAAAATCAAGTGAGCTCTGAATCAAGAGGGAGGCTGGAGACGTGCTAAGAGACAAACGATGGTGCAGGAGGGTCTGTCTTATGCCGCAGGCCTTTATTTGTTGTTTTTTAAGATTCCCCAAATCACATTATCCTATTAGATCAGGGCCTCTGCAGTGATTGGTGCTGCTTGATCTGGCTGTTTTTATGTGTGTGTTGCTTTCTTGCTGAAGTCAGCAAGTTTAGAGTCACCCTGTAACTTCAGAGATCACCAGGGAGCCTTGGGGACTCCGGTGCTGAAGTCCTTGGCACCTTACCCCACCAACTGGAAAGCTCCGTCCCTGCGTCTCCGTTCCCATAAAAGATGCATATTTAACTGGTTTACAAAGAAGGATGATGCTTGAGCCCTGGGCGCCTTCTGGTGAGAGCCACAAACCAATTAGAGGGCGATTCACTGTGCAGTTAGTTGTCATTGAGCTAGGCAGAGTTTAGCTGCTTTCAGTGCATTGGGTGGGGCGGGTTTGCTGTGAAGGTGTTGGTATTTAAGTGTCTTGATGTGCTCTGAGGGAAACAGAGTGAAAGGAAGGGAAAGAGTAGATGTGCTGATAGGCCAAGGGCTGAAGAATAGACTCCTGTTCCCACTGAATCCAGTAAAAAGCAGGGGGAGATGGACACGGAATGCCTTTCTCAGGCAGAGTTATTTTACACTAGCCATGATGCATTTTTCACAAGCCACATTCCTGACACTTGGGGATGGGACAGAAAGGAGAAGAGACGGGACAGTCAGCTGGCTTCTGGCAGTCAGTGAGCAAATACAAACACATCTACCACCTCCACATGGAGAGCGCTGCCCGGGAGCACGGGAGGCGCCAGGATAGCAGAGACAGCTCTCGGGGCAGCTCATTGGAGAACAAGCTGCAGGGCTCCGAGCAGGAGCCCAGGACCCTGCTGGAAGTCTTGTGGGGTTCAGAAAATAGCTCGGGAGAACTCTGCCGTGCTTTGGGATCACTGTGTCCATGAGATTCTCTTTAAAGTGAATACAGTTCATTAATCAGGAAGATGTTTTAACAAGGAAAGTCACAGCTAATTACAAAAAGCATAATATAAGCGATAGAATTTCCCCATGTCCTGACCCTCCTAAGCCTCATTATATGTAATTAACAAGGTCACTGGAGAGGTGATGTGGGATGCTGGAGGGTGATTATGATGGTGGTGGTGGTGGTGTACATGACCAGCCAGCCCCTGAGCTAAGCAGTTCCACTCAAAGCCTTCGGCCACTGCAGTGTGCGTCTTGCTGGCAGGTTTCAATTAGGTGGAGCGGCCACAGTTCCAGTCTCCAGAGGGGGCTTGGTGTGAACTGGCTTCCTTTGCATTTCCCTCCTTGTTGGGTGCCCCGGTGCTTGAAGGTTTGGGCACTGAGCTGAGGACCGTGTGATGAGGTGCTGTCCTCAGGCTGCTTTTCTTCTTTCATAAGCATATGACTCCTGGCCATGCCAGAGAGGAGAAATGCATGTGCTCCATGACTTGCATGTGCCATCTTCCACTCCAGGGCTCCTCCGTCTCTGTCCAGGGTTGGAAGCTGGGGCGTTTGTGACTGACATAAAACACACAAGGAGAGTTGAGCGTCACAAGAGCTGTTCAGTCAGCCACCCGGCCACCAGGAAGACGGCTAGTCCTGTCTTGTTGGTGCGGCTTTTGTCTCATGCCATACGTCTGGGTTTCCAGCTCACCTAAAGTGCAGAATGCTCAGCCCCCTGAGAATTCCTCTGTGGACAGTGATGATGTTGACAATGATAACACTGATAGCTAACACACAGGTTGTAAATGCAAGTGCCTCTAGTAAGCCAGTGAAATCTCCTAGTACCTGGAGAGGTAGACTTTATTTTGTTCCCACCTTACTTTAGGAGTTCCTTAGAGGCTTGGTAGTTAACAGAGATAACACCCAGATGCAGGGTGGTCTGACCGTAGATCTTGGCTGTCAGCTACTTCAGTGCAGGTCACTTTCCTCTTCCAAACCGTTTAATGGTTTTCCCAAGTCCCATGGGCTGACATCTAAATGTATCCTATTCCTACTACTATTATGTGCTGAATGTATCCTATTCCTACTACTTTTAGTTTCTTGTATGCATTGTGCTTAAAAAAAAAAATGAAATCCAGGTATTTGTATGTGCTCCTGCTGTAGCTTAGAATTCCAGTGTAATTGGCCCTGCTTGCAGGAAGTCTTCCCAGGTACCCCTATACACCCACAGCCCATATAACTCTTACCATGTCGTGCTTTCGGTGTCTCAAATTCTCTAACTTAACCATAGTTACTCCATGTCCTTATCAGCTGATCCAACTAATACATAGGAAGACGCTTGGCAAAAGTTTTAATTAATTGATGTGGTCTGTGTATGGAACTGTCACCATTTTTCCTGACAAGGGTCACAATGTAGTTCAGATTTTTCAGTATTTAAGTTATTTATCCACATGGCCTATTATGTGAGATTCATTTACTGCTCCATATGAGAGCCCTGGTGATGGGTACGTTCCATCAGGGTTGAACTCAGCCTGTGGTTATGTGACTACATTTCTAGGACAGCGCTGTTACTTCTGGCTGTATGTCTCCTTTGCTGGGTGAAGGACAAACAGGAAAATGTTCTCGCCTTCTGACCCTGGCCTGAGAAGGATGAGAAAATGCATTTGTTGGGTCACCTGCTGACCTTCCATGTCTGTGTGAAGTTCTGACCAAAGATAAGGGGTTATGGTTAACAAATGCAAGAAAATGGTATTGAAACCTATTGTTACAAACCCACTTTTTTTAACCTTAGGTATCAATACTTTGTAAGCTATTGGACTGCATTAGCTGACCAAGCTATCTTTCTGTCTTTTCTATCTAATCTTGTTCTCCCCCCGCCTTTCTCTAGGATGTGTGTGTGTGTGTGTGTGTGTGTGTGTGTGTGTGTCTGCGTGTGTGCGTGCACATATTTTCCTCTCACCTCTTTGGTTTCCCTCATCCTTCTCCTCTACTCCACTCCTCTACCCTCAGTCTCTCTCCCCACTCCTCCCAGAGTTTCTGACTTAAGACAGAAGTTGGTACCATTGATTCACGGGCGTTGTCTTTCTCCTTTCTGCTTTTACAGTTCCTCCAGGAGTGATACAAAACGGAGCGCGGGTTCTGAGCCGAGGGCTGTTTCCTGGCGTCCGGCCATTGCCAATCACTCCCATTGGAATGACGGCAGCCATGAGGTAAGAGAGGAGCCTGAGGAACAGAGCCCACCTGATAGAGGGACGGGCCCTGCTCTGTCCCCGGGGCCCCTCAGGAGGTCGAGAAGACCAGCCTCTAGCCAGTGAAGACCAACCCAGTTCGGGTGTTCCACAAAGTCAAAGTAACCTTCAGCGCCCCAGTCCAAATGCCAGCTTCTCCTTCTTGGGCCATCGTACTATCCTGGTGCTCTGCAGATGAGGAGACGGAGACAAATTAAGCTGAGGGAGTTTTCTTTTGTTTTGTCTTTTCCCTAAGCAGGATTAAAGTGGATAGAAGGAGAGCATGGGTGGGTTGTTAGATTCTAGGCTGACAGGGCCAGCTCTGACCCAGCCCTGTCACTTCCTGGTCCTGTGACTTTGGGCTGTGTCTGACGTGGCTGGGCCTCCATTTCCTCATCCACTTTACTCGTGTACCTCTAAACGTGGGTTGCAGCACAAGTCCAGTGCAAAATCGTGTGTGAGATGTGCTTTGGTAAGTGGCCTATAAATAGCAAGTGGTGTCATCACCCTGTTTCCAAGAGTCCGGTCAGTTGCCAGACCACACGAGCTGTTCCTCAGGAAATTTCATTCTTCCATCCTCCTCATCTCCACGGCCAGCCTGAGATCATGGTCTGCCTCTAGCTTCAGACCCCCACATGGACCAGTGTGGCAGCCTCCTCCCATTTCCCTGCTGTCAGCCACTGCCAGACCAGTTTCATAAAATGTGCCTTTCTCACTCGGCAGAGCCACCTTCATGACTCTGCACTTCACCCTGTCCCCTCAGGCTTCCCTTCTCCTTGAGCCGGATTTGTTCATCAGACATGGCCAGTATTTGCCCATCGTATTCATGCTGCTGCTTCTGCATAGATTTCCCTCAGCTTGCGTAGCGTCCCTTGCCAGTACCTTCCTGAAGTGGCCAGCCCAAGGTGGAGTTCTTGTTCCTGAGGCCTGTCAGCCCCGTGCCGTAGTGGTGGCCTTTGACGCGTGACCCTATCTGTAATTCTGCTGTGTGCCCATCTGTGTCCTCAGTAGTCTGCGCGCTGAGGATGGGGGCAGGGTGTCACTCACTCAGGTGACTGATGCCTCACACGTGTAGCACAGTGCTAGGCACAGGCTTTCAATCCTCTTGTCTCTCTGACTGCATCCCCGCCCTCCTTTCTCCTGCACTTAGGGGTCAGGTTGGTTCTCAAGAACATTTTTGCTTTCACAGTGTTGTCTGTTCCTAAGGAAACCATGCAGAATACCCGTTTAGCTGGGCCTGAGGGAGCCATGAGATCAAACTCTCCCTGTGCACATCAGGCATGTAGCGCTTCTCCATGAGCTCTATCTTTTCACTCTTTCGGCAAACCTACCTGCTTTTGTTATGTCACTTAATCTTTAGATCAGGCTCGGTGTCTGGGACCTGATGGTGAGCGAAGTTGGTAGGAATGAGAATAGTGATAGATTGTAAATAAAACTATGTATCATTTCTTCCAACCTGACATGGGAATGTTTTTTAAAAATGCATGGAAAGGGCCCTTTCCTTATACTTCCCTGTAGTCTTTCATGTTATCTTCAGCTCTTTCATTCTTGAGTTCATAAATGATAAGCTTTTCCCCGTGAAGCCAGAATGCCAGTCCCCTTGCCTCACTTTGTGAAACACGCACACCCTGCTTTCCATTGCGTTCTTACAGTCTTTCCTGCCTCACCTCTTAGTTTACCTTTCTGATAGGGAAGACTTGGAGACTGGAGACTATTTTTGCTTGGGGCAACAGTATATTTTCATGAGCAGATTCCAAATGTAGACTTCAGAGGTCTTGTCTTGACCATACTTGAGTGCCTTTCAGCCTAGCATTTCCCATGCATCCAGCCACGCCTTCTAGAAGAGGGTGGAGGAACAGCCAGAGTGGCCTTGGGCAGGCGCTACCTCCTAATTGTAATTGTTACACCATGGTAACACACAATCACAAATTTCACTGATTTGTCCCCTCTCGAGGCGTTGCTTAAATACTGGTGGTTTCCCGCGGGTGGTGTCTCGTCAGGAGATGAAGCTCTGCAGCCAGACGCCACAGTGTTGTTTCTGTTCAGAGCGGCCTCTCGGCCGACCCCTCTTGCAACTCTGTGAGGCCGCTTTCAAAGTGAAAAACTGCAGAGTAGTTTCCAGGGCAAGACTGAATCAGTCAGGCCCGGTCAGGAGGCAGCAGCCACACCAAAGGACTGAGCAGAGACTTGAAGGTACTGTTCACCAGGCAGAAAGCCATTGACCAGGCAACCAGCGAGTGACGAGAGAGCTCTGAGTGCTTCAGAGGAACCAAGTGAGGAAACTGCAGGAAGAGGCTGGAACGGTGATTCCATGGAGCCAAAGCGCAGGCTTCTGCTGAGGGGTGGGGCCTGGGATCCCCACATCTGAGAAGGAGGTGAATATTTTTAGGAGGTCTTGTGAGTGTTGGAAAACCCAGACTGGATTCCACAGCTGCCTCAGCCATGAACCCCTGCTGCTGATGCCGCTGCGTTGCTGGGACAGCAGAAGCAGAAAACACAGAGGCCAGAGCAAGCGCCTTCACCATCACCACCTTCACAGTCTCTATAGCACCCCCTGCTGGTGGAGCCAAGGGGTAAAGCAAAGTGTGGTGTACATTGTCCAGTCCAGCGCCAGCACGTGAATCAGATGAGAAGGGTGAGCTTGAGGCTGAGGGACAGTTGCCTTATAACGGCATAGTTTGCTAAGTGTCCATCTACTATGAAAGTATTCATAGTCTAGTGACCTTCCAGAGCCTCATAGGAGTTTTGAGCAAAATAGTTCTGGTAAAATATTCAACCACAATGTTTGCAGAAACAAAACAAAGAAAGCTCCTGTGCATTAGCAGTAAGTTGGCTATTAATTCTGCACCTGTCACATTAGTTTTAAGGGAAGTTAGAGGAGGAGAGTCAGTAAGCTCGGTAAGACTGGGGACATTTGCTTGTGGTGTCTCTTCCTGCTTTTTTTGTAGGGCAAATAGGCACTGCAATGCTTGCAGAGAAAAATGAGCAGAAACACAGCTAAGTGGGCATTGGCAGAACTGGTGTCTGTAAAACCCATTAAGAAGTGTTTGGGGCAGAAGTTGTTTAGCTCTTTCACGTGCATTGTAATTTTTAAATCTGGCCCCGTGTTCGTTGAACCTAAATTCAAATCGGGTAGAAAGGCAAACAATTCAGGGAAGAATAGAACAGCGCAGCACGGGCCGTCATCCGCCAGACCTCGTGGCAGTGCACACCCAGGGATTCCTGCAGCGGGGTTGGGAGGTGGGTTCCAGTATTTATAGGGGCTGCTGCTTAGAGAGTCATTAGCACCCACTAAAGACCAATTTCCTCCTCTCCTTTGTGTGACAGGTTTTCTGTGTGAATCTAAGCACTTCTCCTTAAGTGAAAATATTTGTCTTTCAGGGCTTTTCCCCCCTCCGGCTGAGTGGCAAAGGCCATGTTTGTTTGTCTTAACTCTGAAACTGTTATTGACATAGATGAAGTGTTACTTTTATTAGCTGATCATTACACAGCTTGTATTTGCTGGGTTCCTTTGCATATAATTATGATGTGAGATCTCCCTGTAAGAGTATCTGTCAATAGTGTAATTGACTTTCCCCTGTTGACTTTTTACTCAATAACCTCCAAGACTGGCCCATCCTTAGGCACTGGAAATCTGCTAATTTTGAAATTTGCCTCAGTGCAAAGTACTGAAGATACATCATCCTCAAAAGAACTGCTCGCACGTCGTAGAGTTTTATGCCTGTATCTTCTGCTGCTTGCTGCAGAGATTCCCTGAAGTGGAACACTTACCACCTTGGAAGGATAATTTCTGGCTTTTCTGGGACAGAGGAACTCAGATTTCTTACAATCATAGCATTATGGGCCACCTCTCACACAGAGGTCATAGAAACATCACCTGAGCCATTCTCGCTTTTGACCTTTAGGGCTGGGGCTGGGGATTTAGCTCAGTGGCACAGCGCCTGCCTGACAAGTGCAAGGTCGTGAGTTCGATTCCCAGTACTGGGAAAAACAAAACAAAACAAAAAAAAAAACAATAACCTTTAGGACTGTCTCATGTGGCCTCTCGAGTGACAAAAAAGAATTAAATGTCCCAGATTGGCCAGCTGGTTGGGAGAGAACAGATGAGAAGCAGGTTGTTCATATGACAGGAGAGCCCGGAAATCACACCCGTGAACTCAGGAACCTGGGTCCTTATTCTGTAGCTATGGGATTTTGGGCAAGTACACATGGGCTCCTCACAAGGAAACCTGTACCTGTCTCATGAATTAAGATGAACACACAGTTATGTGCTTGGCATGAAGTAAGCATTATGCAGATACTTTATAGTAACACAGAAAGCCTCCTGGATGTACCAAGTCTGCACCCCGCCCCCTCATGGATCTTCCCCTTCCTGAGCACCAGAAGCTTAGCCCTGAGCTTCAAGAAAAGGCTTAGCTTGAACTTCTTGGACTTCAGCTCAGTGTGGATTTGTGGCAAGGCAGTTGTCTTTGACAGATGATCTCTGCCCACATGTCCAGACCGTGGCATGGTGTAAAATGGTGAGAAAGTTCCACTGAATCCCCATGTAAGGCTGCTTACTTTTATTTGGATCTCTAAGGATCTAAAAGAAAACTAAAATTTCCACTGAACATGAAGTAAGCTGACCATTCATGGTCCCGTTGCAGCATCAGAACATCAGTGTATAAAGAACATTTTGCTAGCACGTGTTTTACGCTAGGTAGTAAATTCATCATGGGATGTTTGTACATATACATCTCTCACATCTTGGTGCTTTTCATTTCCCCTTCCTCTGTCCTCCATGCTGTCTCCCTTTATCCCCAGATCAAAAACATCATTTCTTAAGGTCATGTCAGGATGGAATCATCATTTAAATATTATTTGGTTTCTCTTTATGAGAAACCTAAAATATAAGTAAAGGGCAAAATAGAAGATAGATAATAGGAAATAAAAAGGTAGATCTTTTACAGAAGGTAAAGGGGCCAAGGGATGGAGGCAGGGCA